CCCTTTGTGCCAGCGCAGAGATGTCTTTTATAGAATTCTACATTGCATTTGGAATTTTATTTCATTTTTATTTTGCTGCTTTTTGTTGTCTGTGTTGAGGCCCTGTGCGTCATCTCGTCTCAGTTTTATTTGATTGCCTTTTGGAGATGAGGAGATTAATATTTCATCAAACATACAGGGAATAAATAACCAGATTTGAAAGACATCCAGAACCTTTCCTGCCTTGATGGGCATTTGCAGACCTGAGGAGCAGGGAGGTATTTTTACCACAAGCTATTTCTGAGGACATCCCAATCCCTGCCACAATCTCTGCAGGACATTTCCACCACCCATTCCATGTCCATGTCCATGGTGCTGTGGGGTTATGCCAAAAGGTGTGAGTGCAACACTCTGGAGATGCCCATTCCTCTGTGGGACAGAGGGAGGGCTCAGCCTGGACAAAAGGAGGCTCAGGGGGGACCTTATGGCTCTCCACAAATCTGACAGGAGGGGGCAGCTGGTGGGGTCAGGCTCTTCTCCCAGGGAACAAGAGACAGGATAAGAGAAAATGGCCTCAAGCTCTGCTAGGGGAGGTCCAGGTTTGACATCAGGAGGAATTTCCTCATGGAAAGAACTATTAGGCATTGCAAGGGACTGCCCAGGGAGGTTGGGAGTCCCTTTCCCTGGAGGTGTCCAAGGAACACCAGGACATGGCACTCAGTGCTCTGGGTTTGGTAAAAAGGTGAGGATGGGGCACAGGTTGGACTCTGTGGTCTGGGAGGTATTTTCCAATGTTATGATTCCATTATCCATGCAAGAGCCTCTGTACATCCTTGTGCATGCATGGAACTCACATACATCTGTACAACACAGCAGAATGGTGATGGGTCCCTGTGCTTCCAGACACAGCCACAAAGAGGCTCAAAGCTGACAGGGCTGTGCATCTTTCTGTCACACACTGTGTGAGGACAGAGCCACTTTCTGCTGGGACTTTGGTGGGATCAGTTTCCAGAATAAAACCATGGAGTTTTTCCCAACCACAAACCACTGTGATCTGTTTGATGGGAAATGCCAACTGCTGATTGGAAAATTTCAGTTGACTTTACTTTGAATGAGAAAAAGAATAATTATGACTTTTATTATGATCAGTTTAGCATTCTGCCTTGAGGTTTAATTAGCTGAAGAACAAAAGCTTTTGTGTTTCTGTTCTATTCAAAATTAACACATCCTCCCAAAAGCAATTTGAAAAACATGGCAAATGCTTTTGAGAAACTTGGAAAGCAAATGAGAAATTCAGTTTGATCCCAGATCTTTGTGGGTTTCCTTGAGTTTGCTTGTTTTAGTTTGCAGTTGCCATGTTTTTGTAAATGTGGGATCTCCTATCAATGCACACAGTGTGGGAAGAAGAAATGGCAGGAGGGAATTATCTGTAAATGAAGGAATCAGTCACTTGCTGCATGGAGCAATAATTCAGAGTGAACCCAGCTCCATGTGTCTGAGCTTTCCTTCTCCCAGCAGGACGCTACTTTGTCTTCCTGCATGGCCAACTTCTGCATCTCCAGCAGAGTTTGATGGGACAAACAGGGGTCTGAAGTGTCCAGAGGCCACCCAAGCATTTTGTAAGGCCTTCAAGACCAAGAAAATCTGCCAGCACAGCTCTAAGGTAATACTCACTAAATTAGGTTGGAAAAAATCTTTGATTTCCTTCCCTGCAATGTTACCAGTGAGGCTGTGGCTTCAGCTTTCCTGCTCTTCGTCTCAGAGCAGCTGTGAGACTTGCAGGGTTGAAGCAGGTGATAGAGTGGTCCAATACAACAGGGATACCCACATGTGAGGCATGATTATACTACGTGGTGGGCAGGAATGAGGGAAACTCAGTCCCACCAGCCACTTTCTTTTGTCAGGTGGAGTTTGAGAGTGTGTTCCCCTCATTGCAGGTCTAGGAGGAGGGAAAAGGACACAGGACAGAAAACCTGGAAACTAATTTTAAAAGCAGGGCAAAAAACAAGTCCCCTGGGAGAAACTTAATGTGTTGGGTTGGATTTTTTCTCAGCCTGCAGCTGCTAACACAGCCCCACGTGCTGACAGCCTGTCCTCCCCCGAGCTGCATTCCCAGCTCCTCTCCTGGGAAGGAACAGTCCCAACACACAGGTGAGGAAATCGAGGCACACTGCTGATCTCAGCTGGGATTTCAGCTGAAAAGCCAAACCTCACCCTTCCAGCAACCTGACCTAAATGTCCAGGACACTGAGGATTATTTTCTCCTACAGATGTCCCAGCTGGAAGCAAAGATCTGCTACCAATGCTCCATGCGAGAAGCAGGGATGCGTTTCCCTGCACCCTTTCAGTGCACGGACCAGTCTCATCCCTGCAGTGCAGGAGGGACACATGGAGTTTCCCCAAGCCAGGGGAGGGTTGGCTGTAGGGACAGGGTAGGAGCAGGGCAGTGCTGTAAGTCCCACAAACAGCCTATAAGTGCAGCTGTCATGGAGCTGCTTAGACACAGGACCATCAAACCACATGCAGTTACATGAAATAATAATTTACCAAAGGCAGATAAGTCAGACTAAACCTCTTCCCTCCCTCCTTCCTGGAGAGCTGATATTTCTTTTCATTGTCTCCATCCCTAATACCCGTGTCCCACGTTTGTCTCTGCGCCACACCGAGAAGTTTGAGATTAACCATGACGAATGGACTGATTTCCATGTCTCAGGGACTGTTCTATTATTCCTTTGCCACATCTGACAAGTTGCATTTTACTATAAATCCCCTCAATTAGGTGCTTCAAACAGCACTGCAGCCTTTTCCCTGATATATGGGGAAGGAATTATCTTCATGTCCCTGGCAACCAATTCCTTAACTAAAAATACTTAGCGTTCATTTCTGCCTTCCCTGTATCACCTCACACTTAGGGCACCTGAGCAGAGCATGGCCATCTCACATGTCCCACTTGGTGGCCATGGGCAAGCTGAGATGGTGAAAGACATTCGCTGATCTTGGTGTGGGAATGAGGTCTCTGGTGCTTCCCATTGCAAGGTTCCTTCTGTCCCCTGGGTGCACAAAGCCCTGAGCAGCCCCCAAAACCAGAGTGTGTTTTGTGACCAGGAGCTGTGCCCTAGACCTGCGATGGTAGAAGCTGTCCCATGGCAGGGGGTTGGGAGTACATGATCTTCCAACTCAAACCATTCCAGAATCCTATGATGCACTCAGCTGAATCCAGGATGCTCAAAGTTATTGGGAGCAAGCTTTCTCAAGCCATTTTTAGAAAATTCTGCATTTTCCATGGGCTTATTGAAGTGAGAGGTAACTCAAGGGTGGCTCTGGAGTCTGCCTCATTCCATACCTGTCATGGGAGGGATGCTAAGAGATCTCAGAAACAAAAAGTTTCCTGAATTTACCAGAGCTTTATATATTTTCAGATTTCTTTGCCAAAGCAGTGACATAATTAATTTAACCCAGCTAATGCCAGAAGATTTATGTCTGTGCTGTTTATTCTCCTTACTTACTGGGCTAGGAATATTTACCCTTTGGGGGCCCCCACATGCTGGGGCACAGCCTTGGCCAGTCCTTGTGCCTTGGTCCTGCAGCTCAGGGAGGACCTTGATCCCCTCCTGCCCTCTCAGGTGCTCCAGAGACAAAGAGCAGCTCAGTGAAGATGGATGGAGGCTGTGGCTGTGAATTCATCAAGGGACACTGCCCTCCTATTGATCCATCTGCAACCTGCTGTGGTCTGCAGCCATTCCCCGAGGCAGAGGCTGCCACTGGGAGCATGATCCAGCACCCTGTGAGAGGCTGGTGGTGGATGAACCATCAGCACCTAAGGGAAATATTCCACCCCTGGATGGTGGTCCCATGTTTTCCAGCACCCCCTCCCAGCAGTAGACCTCATTGATCCCTATTTCCTCAAGAAAAGAAGGAAGTACAGTGTGTTGTCTGGCTGTCTGCCCTGGCTCACCTCAGGCTGATGGAGCTTGACTCACTACCTGGACAGGCACAGCACCCACAGCTGGGGCAGCCCCCAAACCTCAGTGAGTACAGAAGGCATGTTCTGAAACTGCCCTGGCATGGGGGAGCAGGTTTCACCCAGCCAGAAACTCTTCCAACTCAGGGATGGACCCAATCCTGACCATGGCAACCCTAAGAGACAGGGGTGTGGGGAATCCCTCCCCAGGGGATGGCTGCCAGGGGACTGCAGGAGCTGAGACACAGAGATATGACAGGAGACCCTTTAAAGCCTAAGGGTTATGCTGGGGGAGAAGGGAAATGTCCAAGACCTCAGGAGCATCATCGAGGCTATCCCACATCACTGTCCCCCACCCTCCCCAGGACACTTATCCTCCCCCTTCTCTACCAGTTAAGCCCCCCTGCTCCTGCCCCATCACCTCTGCCCCTCCCAGCCTGCGGGACAGAGCGCGGTGCCAGAAGCACCCCCAGCTCCTCCGGGTCCGCCCTTGTGGTCAAACACCCCCGCACAGCCCTGCTGTGTTAAAGACCTGCATCCACCTGCCCCATATCCCCGTCCTTCCCTCGGGAGCATTTCCCTCACAAGGCGGGGCTGAAACCCCTTCCACCCCATCCCTGTGGAGGAGAAAAAGGCCTCTGCCCTCCCTTCGTGTTCACTATCCGTTTTGCAAAGGGGCTGCAAGAGCTGACGGGGGAAACCTGGGGGAAACTGGGAAACTTGTCCCAGTTCCTGCGATACAGCCCTGGAGCGAGATCCCCGAATGCACAACGCCCACCCATCCTCATCTTCATCCCCGGCACGCTGCAGCCCCAAACCCTTTGCGGACACAAGGGAAGCCCCCAGACTCCGCAGGAGAGACCCCACAGCGTCTGCACGATGGGAGTGAGAGGGGTGGAGAGGAAAAACCCCCCCGGGAGAGCCGCGAGGGCGGTCCCTGGGCCGGTGGGAAGTTTCTGCTGCTGAGGATGCTGAGCGAGGGAAGGAGAAAGGGGGAAAAATCAAACCGAGTTGGAAGGCACCAGGGAGGTGGAGAAAGGAAAAGGGGAGGAGGGAGAGGAGGAGGGAGGGAAGGGGGAGTGGGAGGCTGGCGAGGAGGGATGCAGCCCATCGCCGGGCGAGCTGGAAGGTGGGCAGCCGGAGCACCGGCTCCGGGGAGGTTATAAAAGGCAGGAGCGGGACGCAGAAGGAGCCGCAGCCTCTGCGCAGCCCCGCGGGGACCCGCCAGGCTCTTTCGCTGCAAGCCCGGAGGATTCTCGCCCCGACGGCAGAAGCAGCCCAGCAGGAGCGGGGACGCTGCCAGCCATGCCCCGCGGAGCTGGGCGCAGGGGCAGCTGAGGATGGTGCCCAGCCTGCGTCTTGCCCTCCTCCTCCTCCTGCAGGTAAGATGCTTTAAGTCCTCTTCTCCCATAAGGGCCCTTCTGCCCCCTCCCCATCACCCCTGCGCCGTGCATCGCCCGCGTTCTCCGCAGTGACTTTTCAATTTCTTTGAAGGGAAAAGTAAAAAGAGAAACCGCAACACAAAGGGCCCTCGGGAGGATTCCTCCAGTCAAGGCACTGGGGCTTGGCAAGAGCTCGTGATGCTCAGAAACTATCGGGGAGGGGGGCTGAAGTGAGTGAAAGGATCATTTAAAGGGGGGAAATTGCAGCCAGGTCCTCCTGAGCTCAGCCCAGGGCTCCCAGTAACTCCCAGCCTTGCACCTCCCAGTGAAACCAGCTGCCACCAGTTCCCCAGGCTGCTGGGAGGGGGTGGCCACTCTGGGGGTGTGATGGATGTGGACAATGCAAATACAGAGTCCAGCCATACCTCCCATAATTAATTTTGTAAGGAACCCTCTCTTCTACCACCCTGCACCTGCAAAGCACAAGACTTTCTCTCTAATTTGCTCGCTGTGGAACTGTAGCCACTGCTAATTTTGCAGCTCTGCACAATATGCAAATGCTTTGTCAGAAGCAATATTCCTTCTCCTTGAGGGCTCATCAAGGAGGGAAACAGCCCAAAGCTTGTTTGAATCCCAAACTCTGGGCAAATGAGATGAAGGGATTTCCAGTGAAATCTTGAATTTTATTTGAACAAGCTTATAGTGGCAGTTAAACAAAATGATCAGGTTTTTGATACAACCTCTGTGTCAGGGAGGGGTAAAAGAGCAAATCTGCCTGGCTGGCTGCAGAATGGTGTCTCAGTGGCCCAGCTGGGACTGCAGAGTTAAAACAGCAGGTAAAGCAGAGGGAGAGCCCTCCCCACTGGCACCACTATGGCTCGTACCCTGCGGGTCATGCGCCCCACTGTGCACCCCACTGTGCACCTCACACATCTGCTGCTCCTCTGGTCCAGGAAAGTTCTCACTAAATGATGAGAAGAGCTGATGTGCACCAAGATACCCCCTGCCTAGTTGGTATTGCTTCTAAAAACTCTTCTTCTGAGCAGCTGCTCTCTCTTATTGCTGCAACCCACTAAGCCTGATTGATAGGATTTATGGGAACTCTCTTGCTGTTACATCCCCTGGTTCAGGCTTTCTTTGGCTCTGATATAAGAAATAAAGATGAGACAGGGCAGGATCTTTTCCCCCAGCCCAGGTCCTTCTACAGCACAGACCCAGTGCAGTACTGGGTCATGTCCTGGTGGTACAGCCACTGAGCATGACAGCTCCTAATACCCTCAGTCAGCAAAAAGTGGTCCAAAAGATGCCCAAAGGTGTGAGACACAGCTCCCATCCTCTGTCAAAGCTCCTTAGGCTCAGGGGACTCTCGTGCCATCCCCAGGTGTTCCCCAAGGATATTCTCCTTGTGAAGGTGGAGCAACAAGTCCTCACAAACCTTCCAGAGTTTGAGACAAGACCACCCCTGTGCTGGGGCTGGGACCAGGAGTGGGGGGGGGTCACAAAAACCAGACCAGACAAAGAGAAGCCTCTCCCAGCTGGCTTCAAAAAGAAACAGCCAATCTACAACCATCCCCCCCTTTGCAGTCAAGCTGTCCATTTTTCCTTATAAACACATGCATTCAAAACTCAGATACTTTTCCAGAAGAGTCCCAACCCTCTCCTGGGGGCAGCATGGGCTAAAGGACCATGAAACTCCAGCTGTGAGTGCATCCCTGCAAACAGGTGTACCTGGATGCAGCAGCATCCTGCCTGTGAGGGCAGAGACCTGCAGCAGCCCAGCTCCAGCCCAGAGCTCAGCAGGGACAAGCCTCCCCTGCAGATTCTGGGTTGGCACAGTTTAGGTGTTCCCCATGCACCTGGCTTGCACCTCCACTTCAGCATGGGTTTGCTCATGTTGCTTTACTGAACAGACATGCCTCAGGAGGTCGGACAGACAAACTAGGAGACAGGCAGCCAAACTTGCTGCCAAGTGCTCCCTGGCACCCTGCAAGTCATTAAAACAAACTAAAAAATGTGATTAAAACTAAACCAGTCCACCTGCAGCTCTGTCAGGAGCCAGTTATATTTCTAGGGCTTGTAAAACTGCAAAAGCATTTTATGAAAAATCAGGGATTGATGATGAGGGTGTGATAGTTTCCCCTCTCCTCTCACTTGACCACCTCCAGCAGCAATAAGCCCAAAAGGCAGCCCCTGCCCCTTCCATACTCGAATCCTTGCATAAGATGCAGAGCTGCAGTTGCAGGACGTGCTGACCCTGGGGATCTCTTCCAGTCCTCGCTTTCCTTAAAAGCTGGGCTTGATTCAGTGTGTATGAAATCATCCCTGTGGTTTCATATCTCCAGCAAAGAAGTGAATGGAAAAGGCACAGCCTGTTCCCAGAATAGCTGCACTGTCACCATAGGATATATAGGAATACAATCACAATATCCTGCATCACCAGCTCAACCCTGCCCTGAAATCCAGCTCTGCTCACCCAAAATCCTGCACAGGGTTAGCCTAGAAGTTCACTGTGAGTGACAAGCTCAAGCTGCAATTGAGTCTGCAGTGTTTAGAGAGGCTGCATCCATGGCTTTGTCTGTGAGAACAGTTCTTGAACCCAGAGAAAGCCCAAATCAACCCCCAAACCCCGGAGTTCCCCCACCAAGCAGAGCCCAGGAGCCATTGTCCGATACTCAGAGCTGTCACTCAGGAGAGGGTGGCTCTTTCTGAAGATGGAATAACATACCCAGGGCCCATCTGTTGTTTTTCCTTTTTTCCCTAACTGTATTCTGAGCTATGAGGAGACCCTCCTTCTCTGCTTTATCTAAAGTCACCCTCCTAGGAGCAGTCGCCTCCATTCCAATGGCCAAGGGCAAACTGTGTTGGTATTTTGCAGATCATAGTCCCTCTTCCACCCTGAAATCTGCACTATCCACCGTGGAAAAGCAGTGGCAGATGCAGCTTTGGTGTGGCCAAGCTTTCCTGAGCTGTGAATGTGAATAAACCAGAAAAAAAAATTATGGGAAATTTAACTGTGGATGTTCAACCCTAAAAAGGTGATGGGTGAAGGAGGAGGTTTGGAGCAGTCAAGATGAGGGTGTTGGGACAGAACTGGAAGGAAAAATGTCCAATCCCAAACTGAAAATATCTGTCAATTCACAGGAGTTCAACATGTACAATCTGTAGGACAGTTTAATAAAATTGCTTTAGAAAAACAGCCCTCCCCAGGCTTGTGTCCATCACTCCAATCTTCCTCAGCAGCCTTTGCCCCTGCAAATCCATATCCCATAGGAGCTGCATGGATTGCGTGCCCTTCCCCAGCTTGATGATGCCTTTAGCTTCCAACACCCAAATGCCATTAGTCATTTTTTCACCTGTCCCCAAAAATTCATGTCTCTCTTGACAGATAAATAAAATCAGAATTATTTATGGCATGCGAGGGAGACCTGAGCTTAATCCAGGAAAACCTTTAATTGCTCATAAATCAGTTTTTACAGGGCATTCATTTAGCCCTGATTGATATTCTTTTGTTAGGATCTGCATCCAGCACACTTGGAGAGAGACTCCAAACAGGATAAACTGTTTGTCTGTGAGAACAGTTTTTGAACCCAAAGAAAACACTCACCAAAGCTCCTGTTTACACACCACAGGGACTGGCCCTCTAATACAGATTAATTAATAAACTCGCAGCTTTTAATGCCAGATGGAGCAGGGAGATATTCTCACTGTCTGCTCTCCCCCTGAGTAACACCAGCCATGGAAAATCCCCGCACGAGTCTTGCTTTGAGCCTTGTTCCATTGCCTGAGCTTTGCCTTGATGTCTTGATGATGGCAGGGCTGGGGATGGGCTTTGGAAGAGAAATGAAGGAGCAGTGGGGGCTTGGTAGGGCAGTGAAGGGGCTTGGAGGAGCCCTGAGGTCATGGCTGGCAAAGCAGGTTTCTGCCAGGTCTAAGAGGGGTAAAGAGGGTTCTTCATGGACCAGATGCTGCTTGGAGGTTTCATTTGGAAACTGTTCCAAATGTTTCCAAGCAAAATACTTCCAAGCAAAAGCCCTCAAGGTGGAGCAGGTAAGGAGCTCCCCAGATGCAGAAAACAGTGCCTGGAAGCCAGAGGAGACAAAGGCAAAGAGATCCCTTGCAGTGAAGTCAGGAGACATGGGGGGGTTGGAGGCACCTCCAGGCACATTTGAGGGGCAGCTCTTTCAGTCTTTCAGGTTGTTGCAGGCCACCTTCAGCCTCCAGCTGCGGTCCTGGCAGGACATGCCGCTCCCTCCCCACACCACTGATGCTGCTCTGCCACCCGAAGTTGGCATCCAGCTCTGTTAACATCACTGTATTTAACACCCAACGTCTGGCACCTTTTGCTGCAGGCTCAGAGCCAAGAACAGGCTCCATCCCAGCCTAATGCTCCGGGGAGCCTCAGCAAAGGTCCAGGGCAGCAGCTGCTCAGCCCTTCCCTGCCTATGTGTTCCAGGAGGTCTTTCCTCTTCCACATCAAGTGTTGTAGTGGGCAGCAAGCCCAGCCAAGCCAGGGAGCAGCACTGATGGGTCAGAGAGGTCCCTACAGCAAGGACACAAGGACAACTCCAGAGTGGATGGAGTTGGCCCCCCTCCCAGGAAGATCACGGTGGCCACCACTGTCCACTGCTCCCACTGCCCTGCCCAGCTCTGTGCAAAGCCCCTGTCTCCCACGGCTGCATGCCAGGCATCAATCCTGCTAATCGCTCTGCTCTCCAATTAAGCCCCTCGGCACTGGACCTCCTAGATTGCTAATTAGGCTACAAGGCATCTATCTCATGCTCAGAGCTGTCAGCCCTTCCTGCCATGCACATCCCCTCTTTTCTGAGGCAACACTATAGTGGTGGGGAGGGACGACAATGACACACACGCTTGTCTCTGGGTAGCACAGTGCAGGGGGTGATATTGCAGTTGGATGTGAATGTATTAATTAGTGTCCGTGGATTGCTTTGGAGAGCAAAAGCACCACAAGGGGACATTAATTCCTAATTGTTATTAATTGAATTTTTCTGCCAGGTCAGTGGCAGGTCACAGAGACTGACACCATGTGTGTGTGATTGTGCTGCTCACCCCCACAGCAACAGCCAGACTCCCAGTGCTGATGAGCTGACACTGTCCTAGTCCACAGTGCTGCATCTCCTGGCCCAGGGGACCTGCCATCGTCACAGGCACAGGAACAGCTGGGGTTTTTTTGGAGCCCTGGGGGCACCAGGACATGGTTGGTGTGTCCAGATTGGAGAAATCTGTCCCACATGATGCTCCACAGCTTGAGTGACCTGAGGCAGGTGGTCCTCAGTGCCTCAGTTTCCCCTCTGGGACAGCCCTGGCACGATGGGTGGTGGGACACCAACGACAGCAGATGTTTGCTCTGTGTGGGATGCAGGAAACACGGGAGCAGTGTCAGGGTTTTGTGTCTGAGCTGTACAGTGAGGACTGGGGGGGCTGTTCATGCTACAGAAAATGTGGGGATGAAAGGAAGGAGCTGGTGCTCCGTGAGGTCCAATACTAAACCAGAACCACGTCTGTCACAGACATCTTTTCATTAAAATCCTTTCTTTAGGATTTTTCTCCCTTCTGAGAAGCTGTGGCCTCAGCAACAAAATGTAAACAATGGTTATCTGCTGATGTGGAATGTAACAGGTGGATCCGTGATTGGTTTCAGGTGGATGTTTGGATTTACTGACCACTCACAGCAGAGCTGAGTCTCTCTGTTGAGACCCAGACCTTTGTTATTCATTCCTTTTCTATTCTTATCTTAGCTAGCATTCTGAGAACTTTCTCTCTATTCTTTTTAGTATAGTCTTAATGTAATATATATCATAAGATAATAAATCAAGCCTTCTGAACACGAGGTCAACATTCTCGTCTCTCTCTTCATCCTGCAACGCTGTGACACACGTCTGTGTATAAAACACAGATGTTACAGAGCCTGGAAGGGAGCTGGGCGGATGCTAAGGCAACACCAGGGGAGACAGTGGTGGCTCCTGATGGAGAAGAAGCTGCTGGCACCCACGGGGTCCATGCAGCTCCTGGCAGAACCATCATCCATCCCTGTGGGAGCAGCTCCCCTGGCGAACTGTGAGCTCTGTGCAAAGTGGCTGCTTCCAGAGGAGCAGATTGCCTTCCTTCCCGGACAGCTGAGAGCTCAGCTGAGGCTCCCCAGGATTTTGGCAGGCTGAGGGAGGTCACAGAGTGTTCCTGCCTGCAGAGCAGGATCTGCCATGGCTGTGTGAAGGTAGAGTCAGGAGGGTGGAGGAACACAGCCCCTCTCTGGCCCAAGCACGACCCACTGCCGTGTCGGAGCTCTTGAGGTGAGCTTGGCTGCAGCCCGGCCAGGCTGGGCCCTGCTGGGCACCATGTGGCATCTTACAGAGCAGCAATGCTCTGGCACGAGCAGCTCCTCAAGGACAGAGCTCTGACCTGTTCTCTCTGAAAAAGCACAGGGAGGGTTGCACTAGCCCACAAAGAGCAAAACAGGTAAGACAGCAACCAGCAATAAGAATTTTTTTTCACTGGGGCAAATCTCCCTGCATCTGCCACCACCCCTGCTTATTCCCCTCAAAGTGCTGACAGGAGTGGGGCAAAACTCTGCCTCTGTCAAGAGCTTTGGCCACACTGCAGTAAGACAAGACTCAGAGCCTGGTAAAAAACTCTTAGTATTAGTTCTGTTTTGGGGATCGTTTTTTTCCTTTCTTTTTTCCTTCTGTAGCTGTTTCAGCTCATTTACAAAGCCTGCAAAGAGCCAGTGTTACTGCTCCATCCACACCCCTCTCTGGCTGTGGCTTGGTCCATGTGCTGCTCAGTGCCAAGACCTCTCCCTGTGTCTGGAAGGAAAATGGGCACTACCAGGCTGGAGCAGGCTGGGATTAGGAGAAACACATCCAATTAACACTTGAAAGCCTATTCAGATAGACAAACTCAGGCATCTTTTGGGTAGAACCTTTCTGTCCCACCTGCCAATGCCAAGAGCCACCAGGTGTGGTGGGCACCAGCTGTGGGCATCAACACAGAGGGGAGAAGACTCCCTACACCTTGATTCCTCCCTGTCTGGAGTTTGTGTGGTCTCAGGTTCTGAAAGGAGACTCAGGAGGTGCTGGGCTCCTGCAGGACCAGCACCCAGGAGCTCCAAACAGCTCTCACACCAGGGCAGGGTTGAGCTACCGGATCCTCTGTGCCATCTGGAGCAGTCACACAAGGCAGCTATTCTCTGCTCCATTTATACGTCTGCCTGACATCTTTCTTGCTGTCAAAACCAGCTTCCCAAGGCAGTAAACAGTTGTTTGGAAAAGAGCAAGTGGGTGCTGAGCTTGTCTCTGTGTCTGAATAAATCCTGTTAATGCCTTGGTAAGGCACGAGGATGGCTGGGTATGCCAGCAAGGGCAGACAGTGTTTCTATGGCTCAAGGACAAGAGGAGGAATGTCTTCTCCGTGTTCAGAGCAGTTTGGAAGGTAAATGGCACTCAGGAAGGGGGTCAGGCACTAGGAATCAGCCTGGCTGATGGGGAAGGCAGAGGTGGTTGCCCCCGAGGAGCTGGGAGCTTTCCTGCAAGCAGGGGAGGTAGAGCCCTTCCTGCCTTCAGGAACACTCAGGGTTGTTCCCCAAGGGATCTGTGTTTGATGTCTTTTGGGGGGGGGGGGGTGCAGCTCTGTCATTTAATCAGTGACTTTTCTCCTGGGGGTTTGGTCACTCGCTGAAGGTGAAAGAAGTGGAGTTGAGTCTCATCCACCATTAGAGAGGGGATGAGCCTGTGTCACCCTTTTCTGCAAAATATCAGGTCCCCTCCTCCCTTTACCTGGCACTGTGGTGAGTTGTGAGACCAACAGCACCATCCCTCTGCCATCTCTGCAATCCCTTCACTCTGGCTATTACCTTTCTCACTTTTAGTTTCCCCAAACTCCTGCAAAGTCACAATAATTCAATAATCATTTTTCCAAAATAGCTCCTTGTGCAGAGTTTTTGCAGAGCTGGGTAGTAGTGGTCAGTGCTTTTCAACTCAATGGGAATGTTGGTGTTTGCTTGACAATTCTCCTAAAAAAAATACTGGTTGTGTGTGGATCAGATCTCCTTAAGGATGTATATGAATATCTTCCCACTGACAGCTTACAAGGCTGTGATTTCAGTAAGGGATTGAAAATCCAAGCGTGGTGTCAGGCTCATCATGTTTCCCCTGTCTGCTCTCAGGATTGAAAGATGGTAAACCCAAAAGTGTTGATTAAAATGATAAATAGCAGAGGTTCCATGATTCAGCAGGAGCTGCAGAAGGGTTTGCTGAGGGGGGTATTCCAGGCAGGAGAGGATCACTGGGTGTTGCTGGGCTTGCAAGGGTTGCAGAATGAAGAGAGAGGTGACAATCTTGACTCCATGATCAGAAGGCTTGATTTATTATTTTATGACATATATTACATTAAGACTATACTAAAGGAATAGAGAGAAAAGTCTCAGAAGCTGCTAAGCTAAGAATAGAAAAAGAATGAATGAACAAAGGAGCTCTCTCTGATTCTGTCCCAGAGAGAGCTCGGTCTTTGATTGGCCCTTAATTGTAAACATCCAACATGGGCCAATCACAGGTGCACCTGTTGCATTCCACAGCAGCAGATAACCATTGTTTACATTCTTTTTCTGGGGCCTCAGCTTCTCAGAAGAGGGAAAAATCTCAAAGAAAGGACTTTTCACAAAAGATGTCTGTGACAACTGGGTGGGAAACAGAGAGCTGTCCCCCAGCCTTCAGCTGAGATAAGCACAGTTCCCCCAGGATGCCATCCTGTAAATGGTGCATGTCCATCATGCAAGCTTTTGGGGTGGTACCCACCCAGACATGGGCAAGCTCAGGTCTGACCCAAGGGGGCATTTGGGGAAGGGGAACCAGCATATTGCACAGATAACCCCAGCCTGTCTGCTCTGTCCATGCAGGCGTTTCTGCTGTGGGACAGCCCGGTCGCAGCCTCCATCCAGGAGCAGTACTGCGAGAGCCTGCCGCCCGCCACCAACCTCACTGGTGAGTGTCCCCCAGCCCAGCTGAGCCACCCCGGGGAGCCAGTGCTTGCAGGAGGGTGTCAGGGCTGTCTCTGGGCTCATCTGCTGCTGCATGGATCCTTTGTGGGGAGGTGGGACGTGCAGATGCTGCATCACAACCCTCTGCTGGTGCTGCTGCAGCCTCCTTGCAGAGTGACAGTAGTGGCAAGTAGAAGGTGCAGATCTCAGGAGATGAAAACAGAGAAATGTCTGTTGGGCAGAGGCAGAGATGGAAAAAGAGACATCAGGGCTGGCTGCCTGTTCTATGCCATGCCCAGGGACGCCAGGACTTTGGCCCCTATGTCCACCTTCCTCTACCATCCCTCTGCCCAGGGATGATGACTGGAGGTTTTGACTTTTTGTGGAGACCACGCCACCAGTGCAGTGTGGCCACCATGGCTCTGGGCTCAGCCAAATTTTGCCCCCCAGCACTCCTACACAGGTGTCATTGAGCACTTTGGGAGGCCAACAGTCACAAAGAGCCTCTGGGGACACAGCTATGGCCAGGGCTGGCTCAGCCCTGATGGGTGGGAGCAGCAGGGTCATGGACAGCCCACTGCTACTCAACATTGTACATGGGTTTGATCCAATCAGGTCAGAGCTTGTGCCAAAACTGGCTTTTAGCCTATATTCAGGATGTGACTTGGATGTCACCTCAGCAGTGACAGGTCTGGTTCAGTGACAAGTTTTGGGGGAGGAGAAGGGTGAGAAGGAGTGGAGCTCACAGGGACAAGGAGAAAAGTTCTCCCCAGCTCTCGGATGCTGCAGTGTTGATTTTCCATGACTGAATGAGAATCAGAGCAGGCACCAAGGAACTCTCTGTCAGGGTGATGGATGGCCACAGGACTGGGCACTGAGGGATGGCCATGGGGACCCAGAGCTGAAGGATGGCTGCTCACTACCTATTAATAGCAGCATTAACAGCTCCTTTTTAACAAATCCCATCTTGGCACCAGCTGATCCAGTGTCTGACCAAATCCAGGCTACCTTGCCCTGCAAGAAGCTTCCCAAGCCCACGAGGTGGAGGCAGAAAGCCAGGGAACAGCAAAAGCTGCCTGTGGAATGGCAATGATTGGATGTCTGGTCAGAGAAGAAACTTAGTTGTCACTCATGTGCTTTGCTCCCTTGAAGGTTTCATCACTCTGCTCAGCGAGGGCCTGTCCTTGGCCGAGTTTAGCTGTGATAAATCCTGACCCAGGGCAGCAGGCAGGTCCCAGAGAATCCTCATGCCCAGCTCATGGCCTTTCCCACCCACTGCTGAAATCTCCCAAGCCCAAGGGAGAGGTCAGAAAGGGGGGAGAATTTCTGCTGTGGTTTGCTGATTGATTGCCCTGGAATCACCACCATCCTCAAGCACTGAGTGCTGCTTTCTGCAAGGACTGGACTTTGCTCAGTGGGGATTTATCCACATGATTACAAGAAGGATTTAGTGCACCTCAGTGTCCATGTCCCCTGTCAGGGGGGAGAACATGAGGCGTCAGATGTGCAAATTGTCCATTGTTTCTACACACGCAACCTGCAATTCCTGAGCAACTCATTTGGATGGGGCTGGCATATGTGAGAGCCATTTCCAGCTGGAGGAGGGGACTTAGAACAAGAGGCAGAAGTGAAACTAATTGTCTTATGTCTGCCTGGGAAGTGGAATTCAGCACCAGTCCTGGTCCTTGGGGTCCATTTAAGCCCTGCGTGATGGAGACAGTGATTCCTATGGAGGGATATTTACTAAACTGGAAACTTTGATTTGAGCTATTTAACATGAAGAGTTGTTACGATGATGCTAATGAGAATTGCAGCAGGGCCCTGAGACTTAATTTGTTAATGTCTTCACAACCCTTGGGAAATGACACATGCTGATAACACAAGCCCAGCAGTCCCCCAGCACGTGGCTCATCAGGGGATCTGCTGGATGCATGGACAGGTACACAGCCTCATGCCTGTGTGCAGCATCCCTCCTCCAAAACACAGCCCACCATGGGCTCTCCTCCTCTCCTGGGTCACCAGTCCCTTAATCTCTCCATTTTAAAGATGATATATAGCTGGACAGTGATGTCACCAGGGTGCCAGCACTCTCCAGCATGTGCACTGAGCTGGAAAATCTCTGCCACAGCAGTGGTGTGGAGGGGGAGCCCATAGGATTGTTCTGTCCAGGCTCAGGGGGTGCAGGTGGTGCAAACTGTCATTCCAGGGCATGGAGCACCTGAGCCTCACAGAGCTCTCCTGTCCTGCCCTCTTATTGTGGCAGCAGCTCTCTGGCCACAGAGAGAAACAGGCATCATTCTGGGAAAGGCTGTGAGAAGATCAGAGAAAATGATGAGAAACAATTCTTATCTTCACTCGCTGCACCTGGTGTTGTGAACATGTGGAATGTGTTGTGGCCATTTCTTTACCAAAGGGTGGTTTCTTAATTAGCCAATGGTGATGGTGTTTAGATTGAAGGACCAATTAGGTCCATCTGTAGAGAACTAGGGTATAAAAAAGCAATGGGTTTCTTAATAAAGAATAATTGATCAGCCTTCTGTAAATGCATGGAGTCTATGCTAATTATTACATGGCTGGGGGCCCCTTTGCACTGACATCTTATCACCATAGTTTTACCCATCTTCCTTCAAGCCCCCAGTGCAGGGTAATATCCCTGGGAATTCAGGCTCAGTGCGATGCTCCAACTTGACAGTCTAGGTATCCATCAAAAATTCCTGTCACTGAGCCCCTGATTTTGGCTGGGACTCGGACACAGGGGCACAGCTGAATGCTCCATCAGAAAGCTGCCTCCCACAGCTGCAGTGAAGAAGGAATATCAGGCTGGACTTGAGGTCAGTGTGGTGCATTCAGGAAGTCAGGTCAGCTGCACCCCCAAACATCTGCAAGCCATGAAAGTCTCAGATTAGGCTTGAAAAGGAGCACAGTGAGGATCAGCATCCCTTGTCTGATGTGGACAGGTGCTGTCCCAAAGGCTCCCAGTCCATGGACTGACTCAGACCATGGATTTCTCTGGCTGATGATTTCAACTCCTCACGGTCTGTGTGCAGCTGCTTCTCGGCCTGTCATGAAGTCCATCAGGGAGGGGCAAAGTCATTTCATCCACTGGGGCAAAGCATTTCCTATAGCTTCAGGACTGCTCCCCTGGGGAGGGAAAGGACAATTTGAGAAGATGGGAAAGCCTCTTCTTAATTAACAATGAGGCTTTTCCAAAGCAGCTCAGCAGAAAGCACTCAAGCAGAACAAGCTCAGAGCACTCTCAAAGGGTTGTTTTGCCATTCGTAGCTCTCAAGCCTGGATCAGCCCAAGGAGTTGCCACCCAATTGCTCTCATCCCCCTCTGGTCCTGACTGTACGATCCACTCCTTTAAGCTTGTTATCATGATGAATTCTTATCCTCAATCCTGTGTGTATGCTCAGGAGAGAGAGGGGAGCACAGAAAATTCCTTGTCAGGAAAGAAACATTTCATGCCAGTTCACCTAAAGCAAAGAAAAATGACACCAAAGCTAAGCAGAAAAAAAGAAATGTCTGTGGGTTTTTAACTGAAGTTTTTTTCAAGGGGGGAAGGGAGTGTAGCTTTGCATTAAATAAGGCAAATCTAATTGTTCCAGATAGAGCAAAATCCTTAGGCAAAGAAGCAGTGAGTGATGAGAACATATCCTTCACAGGCACTATCAGATAAGTTTGGTAACACCTTTCACAGCAGGTGACAATTTGACCAAGAGCCTTTCCACCCACTCCAGCTCAGCTCCCAAAGCACTGACGCTGCTCCAGCAGCCCTCATCCCTCTGCTCTTTCATTCACTCACTGACTCCCCGCGGGTGAGTCTGGAATTTAAATTCATAAAGGTCAAATTCACATCAGTGACTCTTTTCAGTCTTGTTGGCATCTCTCCCACCAAGGCAGAAATATTAACGAGGAGCTGAGAAAGGGTTAAAGATGCAATCTAGGCAGGGACTTGAGGGAGAGACGTGGCACTGGGTAGTTTTGGGAAACAAAACTCTCTTTTATATGGAAAATCCTAGAGGATTTAAACATATACTGGTGTCGGTAAAGCCATTCTGCTCGATTATCTGGGAAACAGGGATGCTAACAGCAACTCGCTGATATTCATTGATTTTACTGTAGTGGAAGAGGGAAAATGAAGAGGTTCTCCAGTAGGAAACTGTGTCCTGGCACATCCCAGTGTGAGTAGCAGCTACAGCAGTTAAACTGTACTTTGGACTGGATGCAGTGAAGTTACTGCCAGAGACTGTTCAGTTGTAGCCAAACTAGAAGGCTCTTCTGGGAAAACTGCCAGGGAAGGGTTTTGATGTTTCACTCACCCACCACCAGATCCCAGCCAACCCCAGGGAATAAAGAACTTCCTGCCACACTTAGTTATAAAACAACTCCAAACACTCTGTGGTTCATGTCAGGAGACCAAGATAAGCCCCAAACACAACCCACTATATTATATACATTACAAAATTTATACATTATATGCATTATATACATTAGATATATTACAAACATATATATTACATACATATATATACATATATATACATATACACACACGCGCGCACACACACACACACACATATATATATATATACACGCACACACATATATATATATATGCTGTAAATCTGTACATGGATCATCATAAGTGACAGCATTGAGCAGATGCATCAGATACCAACAGCACAAGCTAGGTTTGGTGCCTTTTATTTCTTTTTCTCCAGAGCAGCAGCAAAGACCCGAGGGGACAGTCAGTGATGGTGAATAGCAACAAGTCAAAAATTCATTACAACGGCCCATAGCTATCATAATGCTTAATTAGCCTGAGCAATTATTTTACATCAAGGAGTGTGTGCCTGGGAGGATTTTTAAGGACTGGAGTCTTACAAAGGTAAATAAAAGCCCCCAATGCCATTGAAAGCAGTGCTGGAGGCAGAGTGTAAGCAAGGATCTACTTTGAGGCAGCCACAGCTGCTCCCAGCCATCCTGAGCACCCACCCCCTGCTTACAGTGAAGGCAAACAGCTCCACCACCCCAATTTCTACCCCAGGTTAATATTAATTCTCCCCCAGTGCCATTTCCCTCAATGCCTCAAGGTGCTACTCAAGCATTTAACATCTGAGTGACTCTGCAGCTCGACCCAGCCACCCCTCCCTGGCACTTCTGCACCTGGAAGTAAAAGCATCCCCCAAAGGCAGCCCCTGTTTTGGGGCAATAAGGTGTGAAATGGGTCTTTCTTCTTCACCACTCTGGTGGAGCTGCCTGGGAGGCACAAAGAGATTTTTGTGCAATTTCGCAGTTGATGCACCAGACATCACAGTGAGTTGTATTTTGATTAGATGTGGAGATTAAGCCCTGATTGCCAAATGCAAATATTGCAGCAGAGACACAGGGGACACTCTCAGGGAGCCAGAGGCTCGAGGCAGCAGCAGCAATGCAGTCACAGAGGACATCAGGGCTGGACAGAGATAACTGTGGTTGAAGAAGAGCTCAGGACAGGTAGTGGTATGAGTTAGCAACTTTCAGCTCTTAGGCTCTTGAGACACCTTAGATAAATAACCCTATCACTCCCAGCCACAGGAATGAGCCTGTAGTTCAGATTTCCATCATCTCTCCTGGCCCCTTTGCATTGTAGAAGGGGACAGAGGCTTCATCCTTCCACCCCTCAGATTGTCTGTGCATGGCAGCAAACTGGGACATTGTGCTGGTGCACAGTTCTGCCCAGTGTAAAGCAGGATGTGTTTACCAGCACAGTTATGTGCTTTGCTTTACTCCTCTCCAGAGCATCCCAGCAATGGCTTGATGGTATGATAATACTTCAGACCTCCTGGCACCAACTCAAGAGCACTGTGGCGACACGTCTGGTACTGCTGGACCAGGGTAAATATGCTCCATACTCCATTTCGTCAAAATCTCTTGGCAGATTAGCTGGGAGTGGAGAGCTTTACCCTGCCAGGTGTCACACGGTTCCGTGGCTTTAGCTCAGAGCCATCCTGAAGGTCTCTGTGAGTGGTGGGAGCAGGCTGGAGAAGCATGTTTTCTTGAAACAGATGGGATATTGCTACAGTTATCCTGAGGCAGTTATTGTGATATAGTTGTCTCAGTGTAAGTCCCTGGACAGACACTTCTTTCTTCAGAAGAAGCTTTATGCTTCAGAGCAGCACAACACAAAGGCAATAGGGTGAGAAGGGATTGGAGTGACTTCCCCTGTGCCACATTCCCTGTCTCGAAGTAGGGCCTGCTCCTACCTCCTCCAAACACCATGTTTCTGTGTGGGAAGAAGCCAAATTAGGAGAATTGAGTGCAGGTAGGAAATTCACTGACCTTTCATGCTGTAAATCTACAAAGACCAAACCTGTGCTGCCAATGGAGCTGAGAAGCTGGAGCACGCGGGTGCAGAACCTGGAGAACAGTCCCCCTGCAGACATGGATGGGCCATCGAGCATGCAAGGAAGCCTTTAGTACTCACACATATTTCCATGCTAAACAGTGCCCTAAATGCTGGGAGGCAGGTGCCATTCAAGGGGAGCTGGAGCAGGGAGTTGTGCTGGGCAAAGGGTGTGATCATGGTCACAAGGGTTTTCAGGATGAGAGAGAGATGAAAATGTTGACTCCATGATCAGAAGGCTTGATTTATTATTTTATGATATATATATAACATTAGGACTGTACTAAAAAAATAGAAAGAAAAGTTCTCAGAAGGCTAGCTAAGCTAAGAATAGAATAGAAAAGAATGATAACAAAGGAGCTCTCTCCAACTCTGTCCAAGAGAGCTCAGTCCTTGATTGGCCATTAATTGTAAACATCCAAGATGGGCCAATGACAGATGCACCTGTTGCATTCCACAGCAGCAGATAACCATTGTTTACATTCTTGTTCTGGGGCCTCAGGTTCCCAGAAGGGAAAATCCTAAAGAAAGGATTTTTAGTGAAAAGGATGTCTGTGACAAAAGGGGATGTTGCAGCCCTCATGGCACTCTTTGTCTTCACTGTTTTACTTATCACTTCCCCATCAGGAGAGGTTTTTTCTCTCTTTTCTGTATGCTGGAGAGAGCAGAAAGAGCAGCATCTGCTTCCTTCATCAAACCTTTCTCAGTGTGAGCCTGGGAAAATATTGTGGCCACCCACTAGATGAAAACCTGGTGGGACAGAGCTCCAAATGCTGCCAGTGGCAGCATGGGGGTGAAGCACAGGGAGAGGTCCAGGAGCATCCAACAGCCTGGCTGAGCATCTCCTCATCTGACTGCAGCCCCCAATGTCACACCACAGCACCAGCCCGACCCATGGGACAAACAGGGCTAAGCTCCTGGTGATGCTGGTGCACCTTCCCTGTGGTGGGACCAGTGGGACCCACTGGATTTGGTGTCTGGTGGGATCCTGTCATGCTCTAATGGGAGTGCCAAGCAACATCCCCCCAAGTGCCTTGGAGAAAGGTGAAGATATTGAATCCAGCCTCGAGCAGATGTATCACAGAATGATGTACCTCTGTCTGGCTACATCATTTCCATGAGTCTCTTGGTTGGTTTTTAATGGCATTGCTGTGGGTTTGTTTTACTGGTGGAGAGAATCATCGTTGTTGCTCTCTGGCCCTGCTGAGTTTTAATTACTCACTCTTCCTGTTTGTCCTCCTTGAGCAATTTCTGTTTGCCCCCAGAACAGACCCTGAAACGCAGGAGGGGAACTGAGGCAAAAAAAACCTCCAAGAAAATGGAGTTTGTGCCCAGCCCTACCAGTCCCCGTGAGGGGCTGTGATAGCTGCATGAGCTGCCGTGCCCGTTAGTACTGTGCAAGCCCCATTTTCCTGTGTTATATTGTTCCAAGTGAAGCTTTTCCTGTTCCAGACATTCATACACACCTCAGTGGCTAACAGGGAGAGCACTTGTAATTTACCTTTGTCCTTAATTCAAGTAATTACTGGATGTTTTTTCCTTACAAGGATGAATGCTACCATAAAATTTTTAACTGTGACCCTCTATTTCTCTGTCAAATTTGGGTCTAAACAACAAAGGAGCTCAATAAATTCAAATGGATGCAGAAAGGCACAGACATACTTGTGATAAAAGGCACCTTGTTTCCTACAAAATACAGGCTTAAAACAGTTAACGTAAAGGGAACGTTGCCACAGCAACCCTACACATTAGCAAAGCTTAAAACAAAGGTCATTGTTAAAATTAATTTCTTCCTACAAGCTATGGGAGGCAGAAGGTAACACTCACCATGCTCTGATACTTCCCCAGCTCACATGCTTGGAAGCTGTTTTCCCTTGTTAAGATATTTGAAGACTCTGAAAGCCCTGAAAATTTTCTCAGAGAACATCACAAAATAACAAGGAGTCAATTTTTCCGATAATTGATGAAAACAAATATTCCTCCATAAAAACCTTCATCATCATCATCAACAGTATTTTGCTTCTTTTTCCTTTGGTCACTCTTTAGCCAGCTCTATCCATAGGAATTTTTGGGAAAGGCATTCAAATAACAACTACAAATCCAGGGGGAGGGGAAACGCTGTGTTTTCGCACCCAAGGAGCTGTGAATTGGGGTGTTTTGTATTAGGAAGTGGCAATTTCTGTCTCTGTGCAAGCAGCACAAACGTCTCTGGTACCCAGGAGTGTTTTGGACTAAACTCTGCCTCTTCCAGCATCTCCTGCTCACCCATTTTCTGCTTACCCTAGATTGTAGTACATGGATATTGTAGCCATTGTGCTTCCGACCTCACTGTGAGATCAGGCTGGGACATATTTAGCTACAGTACATGTTGTTCTAAATATACACAAATTATACATTAAAAAGCCTGCAATCTGGCATACCTAATGCCTACGTTAGCACACTTGTGTAGCTGGGAAAAGCACACAAATCCTTGAAATCTGAAATAGAAGCAGCTTTGGAGTTTTCTACTTGGGAAAGACTGGAAGAGACCAACGGAAATGGCTGGGAAGGAGATTTTGCAGCCAGGAGGTGTGAGATGTTTGGAGAGACTTACAACCAGACTGGACACACCACTGAGGAAGAGCAAGTCTGGCTTATTGCCTGTTGTGGGGCTGGATGCCAACATCATGGCTGAAGGAAGGAGCAGGGCTGGGAAACCAGAGCCAGGGGACTTGGAAGCCAGGTCTAAAACTAAGTTTGTGCCAGAACTGAGCTTAGCCAGTAGTTTAGTACTTTACTGGCTTAGCCAGTAGTTTTAGACAGGACCAGAGTAATAGTTATTCTAGAATATGAGGTTACAATTGTTAAAGTTGCTCAGGTTATGCTCACCAGAAGGCCCTGTGGGAAAGGCACAGCTGCAGGCCGGACAGTTGGCTGAGGGGTGAGAGGCAGTTATGAGTGAGGAGAGTCAAACTGGGAGTGAGGTTGTGATTGGCTGGAGGAACACATGGGCAGTGTATGAGTGGGAAGCTGATTGGCTGAAAGAACACGTGGACCGGGTATGAGAAGGAAGCTGATTGGCTGAAAGAACACATGGACAGTGTATGCACAGGAAGCTGATTGGGTGATGGGATGTGTGGACAGCAGCTACTGCTGAGCCAGCCAATGGGTGCCCTCTTTCTGTTAGGCCTCGGTTTGGTTTCAGTCATGTCAAGTGGAGAATAAAGGTATAAAAAGGGGCCAATTTTTGCAATAAGGCCATCTCCTTTGATAAGAGGGTCTGTGTTGCTTTGTTCCCACTGCTACAAGTCATGGTCATGATGATTCAACCTTGCAAGTCTTGCACAGGGTCCATCTGGTGTCTGCCATGAGGGTTTCCTGGGGGCTGAGCTTGTTGGTAACCCACCAGCTGTTTCCACAGCCCCAGCTCTCCAGGCAAATCCTGACCTTTCAACAGCCTGGAAGCAGCCCATGGTGGCCCAGAGAGCTCTGCTAACCCTGTGCACTTTGTCCTTGCAGGTCCCCAGTGCAACGCCTCGGTGGACCTGATCGGCACATGCTGGCCCCGCAGCGCCGTGGGACAGCTGGTGGCTCGGCCCTGCCCCGAGTACTTCTATGGCGTGCGGTACAACACCACCAGTAAGAGGGGCAGCACTGAGGGTGCTGGGACACAAGTAACAATATACACCTCTGGGGACAAAGCTCATCAACCAATTAGAAAACAGTGCCTCAGGCCCTGGATTTCAGGGAGGGTTGTTTCAGAGACGCAGGTTTATAAGCAGGTCCTGGGAGGAGGAGAGGGTTGATGTCCCCATCCTGGGGACACAGGCAGAGAAGTAATCCTGCCTTGCCCTTGGAGGTGGTACAGGGGCCTGAAGCTTCCAGCTGAGCAAAGACTGGGGGACTTTGAACACCCTCCCTTCCTGGCACAGGTGGTTGCACTGTCACTGCCAGGGACATGCTGGGAGTAGAGGATGTAGCAATATGAAAAGTGCCCAAAGTCATGCCTAGCATAAAGTTGAGTTTCTGACCACCCAAGTGCTGCTTTTGATGGAAAAACACCTTGCTTCTCACAAAAAACATAGATTTTTCCATCCTGCACATTCTTGCAGGCATGGAGGATGGCACCGACACACAGCTCTGGCTTTGTGGTGCCGCTGTAGGAGCCTCTGTGCATTAATCCCAGCCCCTTGATGAGGCTCACAGCCTCCTGTAATGGTAGCCTGGTCTCACCCCAGTGCTGGCATTGCCCCACTGCTGACACCAATGACAGACTCTCTGGGGTGCCTGGGCCATTCCTTCCTAGTCAGCCTTGACACCTACTGTCCTTCCTGGGCGGCAAAAAAAACTCCTAATTCAGGGAGAGAAGTGAAACTTCGTGCTGCCATCTCAGCAGAGAGCCTGGACTGGCACATGATCACCCAAGCAAACAGCAGAGTGAAAGAGAAGAACTGGAGAAGAACTGGTGCTGCTTCCACTGCACCCCTGTGTGTGGTGAGGAGGTGTTGGGGTCCCCCAGTGCCAAGGGCAGGGCTGCTGCAGACCCAAAGCTCTTGAGCGGGTCTGAAATACTCCAAGGATTTTGGTACTGCAGCTGTGACCAAGGCAGTAGCTGAGCTGCCTTCAAAGCAGAAGATGCCAGGCCTGGCCTGATGCCAGTGCCCTGCATTACTGACAGTCAGGTCACATGCCTGTGCCCATCCCCATGCTCTGTTAACCCTTGGATGGGCATCCTCTCTTTCAGATAATGGGTACAGGGAATGCCTTGCGAACGGGAGCTGGGCAGCACGTGTCAACTACTCCCAGTGCCAGGAGATCCTCAGTGAAGAGGTAGGAGCTTGGGAGTCCCTGGGCTCTTGGCAGGAGTGCAAGAGACAAATGATGGAGTTTTGAAAGGCAACAGCATCCAGGCCAGGAATGGCCCATGGGAGCTGAGGGCTGAGCATGCAGCAACATTCAAGTGATAAAGTTGGCATGTGGCAATTATGACCCCTTCTTGATTTGCATTTTTATTCCCCATCAGAAATAAAGCCTTGCCTGTTTCCATCCCCATTAAAAATCCAAGAGGATTGGCAGGGTGAGGTCCCCAGGGCCTCTGGGTACAGATCAGCCCTGTCACTTTCCTGCAGCTCCCTCCTGACACTCAGTGAAAACCCCATCCTTCCCTGCTGGCAGTGAAAGAAAGGAGATTTTAGGACGATGAAAGACATACAAAAATGGGGATCAAGCCCCTGAGCAGATCAAGCCACCCCTTGAAACAGAGAAGAGATATGAGCTTTTCATTTGCAGTTGATATCAACTCTGATATTTAAAATGCTGATATCTCTTGCCATGAATTGTTTTTTCACTCACTTAATTGCTTATTTACTGATTGGATGAGTGCCTAAGAGCAGGAGTGATCAATTAATTCAATTATCACTCACACTTTCCTCTGTCCAAATTCATCCAAGCCTCTCAGTTGCCCCCAGGGCAGTGGGGGATGAACTGAGATATAAGATTCCAATGAGCTCAATTGAGTTCCAGCAGTTTCCCCAGAGGAGGGGTTGGGAAGTCGCAGCATTGAGCTGTCCTGTGAGCTCCTCTGGTACAAGTGAGATGTGAAACCAGGCTGGTGCCTCTCCTTCCCACATTAGCCCCATCTCCTTCCATTCCCACTGTCCTGTCCCAGGGTGAGCTCCAATTGCTTCCTGAAAAAGGGCCCAGAATTTGAGGTGCAGCTGCCAAAGGTGATGTGGTGGAGGAGGTGGGTTTGTGCTAGTACCAGGGCTGATGTTGACCCTCTGCCTATCTCCCCCCCTCCCAGAAGAAGAGCAAGCTGCACTACCACATCGCTGTCATCATCAACTACCTGGGCCACTGCGTTTCGCTGGGGGCCCTCCTCGTGGCCTTTGTCCTCTTCATGCGCCTGCGGTGAGTGACAAACCTGCTGCCGTGTTCCTGCAAGGTCATCTCAGGCAGGGATGGACCCAGCTCCTCTGCTTTGCCATCTACTCTGCCACAGCCATTGCCCTCCAGGCTGGAGGGATCCTGCCTATCTCAGGGTTGTTTTTCTTTTGCTGCTTTTTGAAAGCATCTAGTTACAGAGGCAGAGGGTCCTCCTTGGTGCCTTCCACCTCCTACTCTTCTCCCTGCCCCCCTCACCCAGGGCATGGTCCCAGCAGGTCACCCTTGGGGTCCCAACAGAGAGACTCAGCTGCACAGACAGCACTGTCCCCAATCCCCCCGCTCTGATGGTGCCTTGTTCCACCCCTCTCCAGGAGCATCCGGTGCCTGAGAAACATCATTCACTGGAACCTGATCACAGCCTTCATCCTACGCAATGCCACGTGGTTCGTGGTGCAGCTCACCATGAACCCAGAGGTGCACGAGAGCAACGTGGTAGGTGCAGCTCTTCCAGGCTGAGCCCAGTCCTGAGCAGCTGGGGGGTGTGAGACCTTGGAGATTACAGAAATGCAAAGTGGTTTGGGGCTGAAGGGACCTTAAGGATCATTTAGTTCCAACCCCCCTGCCATGGGACACCTTCACTATCCCAGGTTGCTCCAAGCCCCATCCAACCTGGCCTTGGACACCTCCAGGGATGAAGCAGCCACAGCTTCTCTAGGCAACCTGTTCCAGGGCCTCACCACCTTGCCAGGGAAGAATTTCTTCCCTAAACCTACCCTCCTTCAGGCTGAATTCACTAAAATGTGGCTACAAAAGCAATTTCAGAGAACAAATAGGGCTGGCTAGTGACTGGCAGGCACCCCCTGTGTATGAGAAACATGGGTTTGATTGCTCTGCCGGGTCTGTGCTGCTCTGTGCATCGATTGCTCAACAGGCTCCACATCTGACAGGTTTGGTGTCGCTTGGTCACTGCTGCCTACAATTACTTCCATGTCACCAACTTTTTCTGGATGTTCGGCGAGGGTTGCTACCTGCACACGGCCATCGTGCTCACGTACTCCACGGACAAGCTCCGCAAGTGGATGTTCATCTGCATCGGCTGGTGTGAGTGCCAGCCTTCCCTCACCCAGGGGTACCCAGGCTGTAGTGATGGCTGGTGCCCCCTCCACCCTCTGCTCCAGCTCTGCTTGCACTCAAAGAGCTGCAAAAACGGTGCCAGGGGCAGGAGGATGGACACTTGATTTGCATGGACACCTCATCTCACTGGGTGGTTTTTGTGTGAGAAAACCCCTCTCATGGTGTGGTTTTGTGGTGACCTTGCACCTCTGAGACTCACCTGTGTGTTCCCCTGCAGGTATCCCCTTTCCCATCATCGTTGCCTGGGCCATTGGGAAGCTCTACTACGACAATGAAAAGTGAGCCCAATTGCTCTTATCCTCTATTCTTCTTTCTATCCCAAATCCTCAGGGATCAGTTGTGTCAGGAATTCTGTCAGGGAAGAAAAAAAAGGATAATGTTCTTCCATTCTTTCTTTTATCCCACCTTTCACCTCTCTGTAGCACAAGCCCTGCCTCTGCTGGTTTCCCCTCAAAAGGCAAATGTGATTTTTAAAGGGAAAAAGATATTATACCAGATTTCCTACAATAGGTTTGCTAAAGGGAGCTGGGTTTTAACCAGCAGAGATCTTATTTACCCCCACCTGAGCCATTTTCACAGACACTTGCTGATGAAGGTCTTAACAGGTACCTGAGAGTTCATCCCAGAGTGGGAAGTTGAAAGGAGCCCGTTGAGATAAATGGCAGCCTGTTCTGTTTTTCAGAGGTAATTTTCCCTATCGACTGCAGAAGTCCCGCGCTGCTCACACAGGCACTGATTGAACAACCCTGACAAGGTGCTCCCAGGACAGGGATACACCTGAGTGAGCTCCTGCAGGGTTTGCTGAGGACAGAGCTGACCCAGACCTGTGTGAGAGGTTATGGGGAATCATGGAATATCCTGAGCTGGAAGGAGCCCACAAGAAACATCGAGTCTGAGTCCTGGCTCTGCACAGACACCCTAACAATCCCACCCAGTGCATCCCTGAGAACATTGCCCAGAAGCTCCTGGAGCTCTGGCAGCATCGGGGCTGTAACCATTTCCTGGGGATCCTGTTCACTGCCCAAGCACCCTCTGGGGGAAGAACTTTTCCTGATATCCATCCCAAATTCTCCTGTGACACCACCTCAGACCATTTCCTTGGGTCCTGCCCCTGTCACAGGGAGCAGAGATGGGGGCTCCCCCTGGGGAGGAGCTGCAGGCCCTGATGAAGTCTAAACTCATTCACCTCTGCCCCAGCTGAACATTCCAAGTGTCCTCAGTTGCTTCTCATGTGGCCCCTCCAGACTGCTCCCCATCTTCATGTCCCTCCTTTGGATGTTCTCTAATGGCTTCAGATCTTTCTTACATTGTTGTGCCCAAAACTGCCCCCAGGATGCAAGGCGAGGCTGCCCCCATGCAGAACAGAGTGGGGACAGTCACCTCCTTTGTGAGGAGGGTGTCCCTGCTTGTCCTGCAGTAACCAGCTCCCACAGCCATATGGGGCCCATAAACACTCCCACAAGTCACATGCACCTCCTTTTACTGAGTTCCCATGAAAGCTATTTCACAATGGCTGCAGCAGTTTGAGTTTTAGTGCTTTCACCTCACAGACAGCGACTTACAGAGATTGTGCAAGGACAGGAGTCTATCCAGGTCACTCCTATGTCAGGCTTGTCCTTGCCTTGCAGGTGCTGGTTTGGGAAGCGAGCAGGTGTTTATACTGACTACATTTACCAAGGCCCCATGATCCTGGTGCTTCTGGTAAGAGGAACTTCACCTTTTCTGTGCTAAATAGAGACCTTCTGTGTGCAGCTGGGTCACAGCTGCTTCTGTACAAGGTATTGCCGCCTTCTTTAGCTTCACTCTGCTGGGGCTGGTTCTGCTGCCCCACAGCAGCACTGCCCCTCATACAAACTGCCTTTTGAGCAATTTTGGTCTTGGGGGCTGCAGAAGGAGCCTGGAAACCTCACTCTGACAGGGGTGACCCATCACCAGCCTCCAACATGCATCAGTAGGTCCCTCCATCCTTCCCATGGCACTCTTTGGGTGTGGGTGGATGCTTTGCCAAGTATTTGCAGAAGCTTGGGATCCTTGACTCCATTACCTGATCCTGATTCCACCTCTCAGTTCCTGGTCCCCAGCTGAGTAGTTGTGCTTGATCCAAGAGTCACATGGATGGGGCTTTGTCTTTTGGGGAGGGACAAAGAAGAGCAGAGGGGGCAGGTCACAAGCTGGGGGTCCAACCTGTGTGTGCAGGGAGAAAGCCATGCACAAAGTCCAAAACTATTTCCTCCTCCTTGGCCAATGCTGAGAAAGCTCAAGGGAGTAAAAATCTCTAGAATGATGGAATAATTGATCCTGTTTCCCATTTCTTAGCCTGACAGGCAGCCAGGCCACTACTAAGTCCTGTCAATTGTGCTCAGCTCCAAAGACTCCTTCCCATTCCCTCATTAGCAATTCGGCAGCCAAGAGAGCAACCAGGCGGACCCTGGATGTAATGGCAGCCGCTCTCTACCTTAGATTCTTCCTCTCCCTCTGCTTTTTCACCTTCAGCCATTCCTCTAGCACTTGTCCTTCCTTGGCAATCTCCTGGCATGCCCTGCTTCCCTGATCCCCTAACCAAATTCCTAAATCTTATTATTGAAGTGTTTTTTAAAAAGGCAAACATCCTCTCATGGTGCATGGAAGGCAATAGATCAGGTTCAAGAGGAAACTTTCCCATTTGCCCTGGTCCCTCTTCCCCCCCACCATTGCGGAGGAAATGGGAGGATATACTGAGGGAGCAGACACTAAGCAGTGGCCCTGTTCCTCCAGATCAACTTCATCTTTCTATTCAACATTGTCCGAATCCTCATGACGAAGCTCCGAGCTTCAACCACGTCAGAGACAATCCAGTACAGGTAAGAGCATGAGCGACCCTGCTGGAAGCCAACCTAGGAACTGGGTTCTCTCATAATTAGTGGGGATGGGGAGAGCCCCATTAGCCAGGTAGCAAGGGGATGGGAACATGGAGAGACACCTGAGAGCACCTCAAATGCTCTTTGGAGGCACATGGTCATTAAATCTGGCCAGGGAGAGCCTTGTGATGTGGAGTGTGTATGGCTGTTTCTGCCTTTGAAGTGAACTCTTGGGATTTGAGTATCTTTGCAAAAGCCTTTTCTGGTGGGACCTGATGAGCTCTCCAGGCTGGGAGCTACAAATCCTGGCATGGAGGTGAGAATTAAATCACTGCTTGACAGAAAAGCAAAAGCTGAGGAAGCTGATGAATCGATGCCACCCCAACACCTCCTTGTAAAGAAGAAGACAGTACTCCCACAGCACAAGGCAGGAAGATTTAACTCCTCCTTGCCTGTTGGGGAATATTTTGCAGTAAGAGGTGCATGGTCAGAGCAGCTCCCCAGAGTACCTGGGATAGAAGACACTTTGGGCTTCATCATTGCCTCTGTCTGGATCATTTTGTGGGCAGGAATTGGGGAATCTCATGGTGTGCTGGGTCAAGAGAAGCTGTTTTGAGGTGGAGGGTGGCTTTTTCAGCTGAGAAAGGAAAAATTCTGGTTCTGTTATTGAGAAAGCTACACCAGTAAATGTGCTGCACTGTAGTTTTCCATCTCCTGTCCTTGGTTCCCTCCAGCTCCTCCATGTCATCAACCCATTTGTGCCAGGGACTATTCTCCCCTCTAAATCAGAGATGCAAAACAGGTCCCAGCCCCCCTCCCTGTCCAGCTCAGACCCTCCAAGGATGACCATCTACTGTTGGAATCTGTCCATTAACAGTATTTTTAAGCAAAAAAGTGATGACTTGGCATTGTTCTTGTCCCCTGATCCAAAGGAATGAGGTTCCAAGCCCTAATCCTTCCCACACTCTCTGTATCAGCACTATGACTTTTCACAAACTGTACTTGTAATTTCATCAAGATATCAAATTAATTACCTGAGATACGGTGTTCACAAACTCATGTTGAAAGGTGTGATTTATTATACCCTCCTTAATTCCTTTTTAATTGAGCTGTAGATCAGCCAAGCAGTCATTCCATGCCAGCTCAAGGTCAGGCCTCTGCACTCCACTGCTCTTTTCTGGGTGGAGAAGCAGAGCAGGGGCCAAATGCTCAAACCAGCCCAGTTCCTTGGGAGCTGTGCTGGAAAACCAATGGATGGAGCCCAGCTTGGCTCCATCCTCCCCTACTCACTGGTTTTCAAGTCCCAGCAGACCAGTCCAAGCCACGCTGGTGCTGGGAGTGGATGGGCAGAGGCTGCACTATAGCAGCTCAGGTCCCTGTTTTCTCCCTAGGAAAGCAGTCAAGGCCACACTGGTGCTGCTGCCCTTGCTGGGGATCACCTACATGCTGTTCTTTGTCAACCCTGGGGAGGATGAGATCTCCAGGATAGTCTTCATCTACTTCAACTCCTTTCTGGAGTCTTTCCAGGTAATGGTCCTTCACACTGGCTCCCACCCCAGTCCTCTCACCAAGGAGGAGCCCATCGTGGCTGATGCCTCATCCCGCTTCTGCCCCTCCCCAAACCCCAGAGCTGTTCCAAAGCTCTGGGCTCGGGGGCACCTGTTTGCTATGACTCTGCTGCTTGTCTCCTTCCAGGGCTTCTTCGTCTCTGTCTTCTACTGCTTCCTGAACAGTGAGGTGAGCACAATAGGCTGGGGTTTTTGTGGGGGTCTACACCCTTCCTTGCAAGCAGACAAATTCAGCAAAAGGCTCTATTGCTGCCCAGGGCTTGGAGGGTGCTAGTCCCTAATTCCCCATCTAAAGGTCTTTGGTGATCAAAATTGGTGCTTCACCTCCAGCCCCAGGTACATCTGCAGCCCCAGATTTTGCCCAGACAGGAATGGCTGCTGTCTGTCTCCTTCTATGGAGGAGGAAAATCCACCCCCAAGAACAGATGCTCTCATGGTGCACCTGTGTGATTTGGTGCAGCAGAGCCAAGGGCCCTCCCCGTCCCAGGGAAATCCTTCCCCAGGGTGAGCCCCATACACATGTGGATTGCACATGGATGAGGATATCTCCCAGGCTCTGCCCCAAAACACAAAGCAGAAAGCAAAGGAGAGTAGAAGTGAATCCTGGGGCCAGATATTTGGGCAGTTCTTTCCTCTGCCTCTTCCAAATGCTCCCACACCTTTGCTGACTCCGGAAAGTTTACCCTGCATGAATCTGTTTTGTTAGCAAATCACATATCATTAATCCATTTCTGGCTGGAAGAGTGAGGAGGAGGATGGCTGGTGCCCCTGGTGCCTCTGTGTGATGACCAATGTCCCTCATTGATTTCACCCAGGTGCGATCGGCCGTGCGGAAGCGCTGGCACCGGTGGCAGGACAAGCACTCCATCCGTGCCCGCGTGGCAAGGGCCATGTCCATCCCCACCTCCCCCACCCGTGTCAGCTTCCACAGCATCAAGCAATCCACGGCTGTCTGAGCCAGGAGCGAGAGGCTGCACAGGAGCCGACGTCCCCACTGCTGTGGGGAGCCCCTGGAGGGGGGCACGGCACAGGAGCAGGTCCTGCCGGCAGCCCCAAGGAGAGCATGAACTCACTCGGTCATGGGACACCTGCACAGCTCTTGCCCCATGGGCTGGGCAGGCCTGGAGGACAGGACAGGACAGCTGAGATGCTGCTTTGTCATCTCCCTGGCAGCTGTGTGACCTGCTGGTATGGCAGAAAGAGCCACAAGGACCTGGAGAGGTTTCAGCAGCTTTCTGCCAGCTCCATCCTGGGCATAATGTCTCGGGGTTTAGGCATGATTTATCAGGTTTGTCTGCTTTGAGGTGACAGGAAACCAGGACAATGCTGGGACAGCTTATGGGGCTAATTCCCTGGGAAGCTGGGTCAGAGTTCCAGTGAGCACATGCTAGAATGTTGCTGGTGGCTGGGGAACCCTCTAGAGGAGCCAAAGTCCTATGTGTTGGAAGGGAATGGATGGAGAGCCCCAGAGTGATTGTAGACATTGCTTCACGTGGCTGTGTTTTTGTAGCACTGGGGTTGAGTCCTTCTCCTGTCTCTTGCTGTGTCTCCTGGTGTCCTGTAACTGCTGCTTGGTCTGACTAGGTCATTTCTCATCTTGACACCAAAGGTGGGGTAAAGCAGTGGGGTGGGAGAGGGAAGGTAACTCCCCCTCCCATGGGGATGGGTCCTAGAGGCTCTGAACAGTCACATAGAGTTGGTTTGATCTGGAGGGAAGCACAGGAATTAGTTGCATTCTCTGGTTCAGCCCAGATGGATCCACAGGTCTCTGCAAAGCCCTGGACCTCAGGCTGACTCCATGTCCCTGCTCAGAGGGTGGAAAGGTGAGGGAGCCCTGCAGTGGCTGAGGTCCCCAAGGCAGGGGGACAAGGCCTGGCTCTATCCCCTCCTCCTTGCTCTGCTTTTACCTGGGCAGGTGGGCCCAGTGCCAAAGCTGCTCCTTGCTCTTGTGCAGAGGATGGGACCAAACCATCCCCACGCTGGGGTTAAGTGCCTTGGAGGAGCAGCAGCCTCCTTCCCTCCCTTCCTATCTCCCTCCCCATTCTGGGACTCTAGATTGTCCCCAGTTCCCCCTCTCTCTTTGCCCTCTTCCATGTGGTCACCAAAAGCAGCTGAGCAGAGGAGTGGATTTGCCCTGACCTCTTTGGAGCCACCTTTTACTTGTCCCATACAAGGTCTGGGGATGCCCAGGCAGGACACAGATTACAGCAGGTTCATGGGCTGCCTGCCCTCTGCATCCCAGGGATTTTGCCACTGGGGCCATGCAGGGTCTGGTATGAGCCCCTTCACACTTGTGTGCCTCAGTTTTCCCAATATAAAGACCAGGCATAAATGTTTCCTGCCATGGGGAGATTTAAGCATCTTTGAAATTGCAGTATTTTGTGATTTCCTCAGGATATACCACCAGAAAGGAATAAAATCTTGCATCTTTTTATTTAAAGAGAAGCATAGGGAAAATCCTCTGGGTTCTTTCTTCAAACATTTGTGAAATTCAGTAGTTTAGAGAAAATTCCTCCCACTTCCCTCCCATTTTGATTTTCTACCTGCATGTCTGCAGTGCAGCAAAACTGGAAATATCCCATTGACTCCAATAATCTGCTGGAAGCAGCATCAGTTCCCAGTATGACACAATGACCACAACAAGGACCATACACATAGAGCACATTTCAGTCTTTGTTCAAGTTCTGCCACTGGCAACAGCCTTCAAAAGTGCCCCTTCTTCAAAATATGGGTGTGGAAAAGTACCCTGAAGTTATGCAGTGGTAAAAGTGTGGCAGCTTCCAGCTCTATGGACACTTTCTGCTGGTGCCCTACAAGGAGTAGACTTGTGTCTTCTGTGTCTTGGTTTCTCTGTTGGGTACTTCAGCAGGAGCTAATGATGATCTGCTGGCAACAGAGAAGGGGAAATGTCCCAGAGAGCTTTTTTCCTGATCCCTGTAAGTGATGTTGCCAAAAAATGATGTGCTACATGTTCGACTTGGATTTTTCTAAAGTGGGGTCTTTTGGTGGAAAGAAGCTGGAAACTGAAAAACCAAAGAAAGAAACCCAAACAGAAGCATCTGTGTTCACATCACTGTTTTTCCCCTCTCCTCTTGGTGGTCTGCTCCAATTGATGTGACTTTGCTTTCTGTAGCTGGAGTGTGTATTCTCAGTCTTGTTTGATTAAAAATACTTCAATTCCTCTTACGAGGACTTTTGGAGCATGTTTATCTTTTGGAAAAGACAACCCTGGCATGGTCCCTCCCCAGCTTCCATGGGATCATTCTCACACTGCAGTGGGCTCAGCATCCCACTGGTTCAGAGGCTCCTTTGTCTCCTTTCTACCCCAACTCCATGTGCCTAGACCATGGAGGTGGCTCTCCACAAAGGTATCTACACCAAGAGAATCCCACACAGGTTTTCCAGACAAGTACCATCAGGGCTGGAGAAAGTCCTCCACGTTTTCCCCTTTGCCAGGTGAGCTAATACAGAATAAAAATGTAACATGCTTCACAGCAGGAGGGAGGGCCAATTAAACTCGACTTTCATTTCACACATCAATGTTTACAAGTGAAATTCAGACAGAAACAGATTTCTGGTCAAGCTCTTCTGATGCAGAATTAATTTGTTCATCACACAGAGCCTTGGAGAGCACTGTAATTTAGTAAGCACCATGCACATAAATAATAATTACGGGTTCCTGCTGATTGCATGATTGTATTTAAACTTATCAAGTAACTCTGAGATTAATGACCTGCCAATCCAGTGCCCTTGACAAGACTGAAGCCTCTTGGGATCTTCCTGTGTTAACCCTTTATGTTATCCGGGTACCTTTCAGGGCTGGGAAAAGCAAAAGAGCACTCCAAGGATGGGATCTCATGGTGCTGTGGGATATCCCAGTGGGATGATGCACAGGAGCTTCTCCAGCACAATGAGATGGATTTTTCTTTAGCTTCTTTATTTGGTTGACACGTTAAACTCACCATGGAAGTTGTTGACAATCCTGAGTCACTTCCCACCCTCAGGCTCACTGCCTGGGATCAGAGTTTGGGTGCCCTGAGATACATCCCCAGCAAACCCCAGCAATGGAGAAAGCCTGCCCTCCAGAGCCTGAATGGAGGCAGAGGGAAGCTCATGATCCTGATTCCCTGTGGAGGATCTGTGCCTTCATTCCACCTTCCAACTAGGCAAATATGCCCACTGCCAGAGGCAGGACCTCTCAGTTCCATGGCATGTAAATCACTGGGTCAATGGCTGGTATTTAAAGCAAAGCGGGGCTGTCAATCCCCTTCTTCACACAACACATATCTGGTGGTCCACAGCTTTGGACCATTCCTGGATTTTGAGCCCTGCTGTACCTTCCCAGGCAGGTAAGGACTCTGGAAAGGGTAGGAGGTTGAGAGGGAGAGGAAATCTCGTGGCAGTTTTACAGTCCAGTGAGTTCAGTAGTGGCTTTCATCACTGTGTGCCCTAGAATGCCCTTCATCTGGGAATGTTGTCCTGTGAGCACTGCCAAACTCCCAAATAAATATTTCATCCTTTAATTCCGATGCCCCCCTCCTTCACTGCTCTCTCCAGCCTTGAGCCTCACGCTATTTGTCACCACGGTTGGAGTTCAATGGCTCTCAGACACACGTGGTGGTGGTAGGAGACAGGCAGCTCTGCCACCCTCGTGAAAATTTCAAAGGGACATATTTTTCCAGTTTGGAGGAAAACTAAAGATCAGAGACACAAGTGATTCCATGGGAGAGCTCATCTGATCAGCCACTGAGAGAATCCTTGAGGAGCCCCTGGGCCACACTGAAGGCAGCAGAGGTGTGTGATCACACAGCCTGCTGAATTGGCACCTGCACAGAGCAGGGATGGGTCAGTCCCACAACCAGGAATTGGTGTGCTCACCCACAGCTGAGTCCATCCTCCCAGCTGGTGACCTCATCCAGAGGGATTTGCACCAAGGACTGTCCAGGTTTTCCAGGTTTGCTTGGAAATAGTTGCAGTCCCCAACCACCTGCTCCCAGGAGAGCCTCTGCAAGCACCATGGATGAGATCCCTGGCCCTGCCCTCCTCCCTGTCAGGCAAAATTTTCCATGGGAAAGTTACGTTTAGGCTGCTGAAATCTGTTGTTGAGCCTCCTACTTAGTGTGGAAACTGAGGCACAGATTTGCAATAGATTTTGGGAAATGTTGAGCTCTGCTGGCTGAGCTCCATCCTGACAGACACCTCTGCTGCAGAGCATCCTCCGTCCAGGTCTGAGACCTGTTTCAGTGTGAAGCAGGCTTGGGACCCTCCTCAGCAGCCCAGAGCCTCCTTCTGCCCCAAGGAAATGTCCCCAGCACCCCACCCTGACCCAGCCAACCCCACCAAACATGATTGCTGTCAGTTCTGAGCTTCCACTTCCAGCCAGCTGGCTGATGTATCCAGGTGCGCTGCCAGACCTTGATTTTGGGTGCAGCAGGAGAAGGGTCACAACTTCCTTCCCTCAGCACTGTTCCCACAGGGCCAGTACCCCATGGGCCCAATGCAGATGCCTGAGATCCAGATGTCCATGTGCAGTCCTTGGCTGCTTCACCTACTGCCTCCCCATTTTTCATGGAGGCAAATCACCAAGTACCTGTCCCCACCTGCCCTTCTCAGCACATGGTGTTGGTGACATGGCTGTCAAAGCCCAGCCAGCAAAAAGTCTTTGGGGTTTGTGTGCTGAGTGTGGCTGACCTCCAAACACGAGATGTCAGAGCCCCTGGCTCAGTCCCAAAGGATCTTCTCTGACTGCCAGGAACTATTAACATCTCTCTCCTTCCAGAAGGATGTCAGCTTTGTTTGGGATGAAACCAGCGTTTGGAAGAGCAGATGATCCAGTGATGCTGCAAACAGTAGGGTCTCCTGCCCTGTGCTTGCAGCTCTGGACATGCCAGGTGAGGTCTTGGAGGGTGGATGAAGCTCTTCCTGCTGTGGGATGGCTGGAGAGTCCCAAGGAGCTGGTGGCTCTGAAGAATCCTGTGGGGATGTGAAATATGGGGCAAAAAGGGGAGCCCTGGGTTAAGCACTTCCAGTAATCCCAAAAGCAGAGGAACAATTATTGGCACAGCAGGGGCCAGAGAGCTGGAGAAACACAAACAGGGGAAACTGCAGCCTAAGAATGAAACACGAGCACAGAAGCAGGATCTTAGTACAAGTCAGGAAAAAGCAGGGTGACTCTGCCAGCTAATTCAAAAGGAAAACAGGATGAGATATTCAGGAAAAGCCTTGGATTATAGGCAAGAAAAATTGCATCCTGGCTGGAGTTTGAGTGACACTCCATCCACTCAAGCCAGAGTAATAGAACTGCTCATGTTTCTGATTAAAATTATTTGGGTGGCTAAAGGGAGCTATATTTAATGTGTTAATGTGGTTAAGGTGTGTTTAGAGGCTGCACATTGAATAATAATAAATAAGCACATAAAGTAGACTGGCATTTTCCTCTGGGGAATGTCCATTTGTATGCAGGGAGTGCTTTCCATGCAGGGAGTGCTGTGTTCAGCTCTGGAGACCCCAAGAAAGAAAGGACATGGAACCTTCTGCAGTGATTCCAGAGGCCATAGAGATGCTCCTCTACTCTGGAGACACGCAAGAAGAACTGTGGTTGTTCATCTGGAGGAGGCTCTAGGGAGACTTTAGAGCCCCTTCAGGTGCCCAAAGAGGCTCCAAGAGAGCTGGAGAGGGACTTTGGACAAGGGCCTGGAGTACCAGGAAAAGGCGGAATGGCTTTCCACTGTCAGAATTGAAGTTTGACACATAAATCACAAACTGGATCAAAGTGCATCTCACCCACTTCAGAAGCAGTCCCACTGCTTCCACCCGGGACTGGGTGCTCCCAACATAACTGAGTCCACCTTGATGCCGGTTTGCAGCTTCTTGTCAAAACTTTCATCAGCTTCCTTGTTTCTTTGTTCAGGAGGGTTCTAACTCCTTTCCTCCTTGTTAGCCCTTGCACACAAACCCAACTTTAAAAAGGATAAATTCTACATATTTTTATTCAGATCAGTTTACAAAGGCTTCATTCATCTCTTTTGACCCCCAGGGTAAAACTTTAGTCTTAAATAATTAATTCTGCTTGGTTGGGTTTGCTTTTTCCAAAGGAGATCTATTTCCTGCTGCTAAATTTCCCACCTATGTGTAATTCCCATATTTTCCATTTCTTTTTCCAAAAGCAGTGCCTCCCCCATAATGTGATAGCAAAGAACAAAACCTAGCCCAGTCCCTGGAGATTTTCTCCTATAGAAGTTGCAACTCAGGCATGGTACACCTAAATTGTGTGGGGAGCTTTGAAGGCCCTGGCATAGCCCAAATCATCATAAATCCCAACCTGGCAAAACAAGATGTGAGTCAAGCACTGCTGGAGAAGAGCAAGTGTGGAGCCAGTGCCATGGCAAAAAAGGGAAATCTATGCAAAATGGAAAGCAATTAAAAGAGAATTAACCAGGCTGCAGGGGGAGAAAATTGCTTCTTTCAAACCATCTTGATTATAGGGCTGCAAAGGCCCAGAGCTCCCATGACTTATCACCAGCATGAATTAGATGAAAAGGTTGTTAATCAGGATTGTCAGAAGCTCTCCCAAAACCAAACATCTTCACTGGAGCAAGGGCTGGCAGGGAACTTTGATGTTCCACAGCTTCCTCTGCTCAGCCCTCACCTGTGAATGTGCTGGCCAGAAGAGGCGAGTGGCTTGTTGGCCTTTCCAGAAAAGGGCTGGGGATTTCACACTGGTGGTTGGGAAGGTGGCATCCCTGGTGGAGCTGGAAGGAAATGGACCCTCCACAGCCTGTTCCCATCCCACACAGCCCTTCTTCCCTGACATCCTGAAAGACCAACTGTGAGAAAATGCTACTCACTTTCAGAAATTTAGAAAGGTTTATTAAACCTTATCAATAATACAACAGAAGACTGAATAGACAAAATGTTATGGCACTGGGCGCAAAGGATTTTTCCCACCATGTGCTTGACCCCACAATGGAGGTTTTGCTTGTAACCCTTTAACGTCTCCCAAAGTTCTGTCCATTGACTCCTCCTTCGCTGTCCAGTGGTGGATGGAGATCACTGCCTTAAATCTTCATTGGAGGTCAGCTATTGCCATAGAAACAAGCCAACCCTCCCAAATGTCCCAAATCCAGCTGCCCCTTGATAGCGTGAGGGGGTACAACATAACTATAAACCTATAAAACTTTTCCTAG